GGTAGGACTCAGATGGTACAACTTAACATCTTCTCAAATCCCAGTATCATCAGGCGACCCCCAGGGTTCGCACCTGTGCCTCCTACCATTTAACATCTTTATCAATGACATTTCATCTTGCTTTAAGGGAAGTCTTTTTCTTCTGTTTAGTTAAGAAGTCTAGAGACTTCAATAATTTTGTCTATCACATTGATGATAGTCTATTGTGGATCAAATCAGGGACTTAGGTGTGCTGTAACCTCAAATCTGGATTTTTCAGCTCACATTGACTATGCAATCAATAAGGCTTTATGCATGCTTGGCTTTATGAAACGTAGCACTGGGGGCTTCTCGACTATAAATGCCATTAGAACATTGTACTATTCCTATGTCAGATCACATTTAGAATATGCTGCTTCGGTATGGAGTCCTTATTATGCATGCCATATCCATCGAATTGAAACTGTTCAGAGAAAATTCTGTAGATACATTAACTACAAATTTTACGTCAACAATGAATTTCATTATTCTGACTTATGCACATCATACGCTTTACAACTCTCGCCAATAGAAGAAGGCAGAGAGACCTAATACTAATTCAAAAACTGATAAACTCTAGTAAAATAAAAATAGAGTTACAATAAAGGGCTCAACCTTGTGGCACACTTGACTATTACGGTAATCAGGAAATAATTGATGAAATAAAAGTTATGTAGGTAAAGGTAAGTCAAAGATGACATAAAGGTAAATACAAAAATGCAACAAAAATGGTAAATGGGCCTTAACTCGATTAAATTCACCTGATGCTGATCTGGCTTCAGCGAACGATTGTTTCCATTAGAATTTCATGACTGGTTTAAAAGTATATTTAAATAATCCGGCATACATGTTTCTTCAAAGTCTTTAATAATTGCCATTTGGATTTTAAGGTTTTTCTAAATTATTTCTATCAAATTTCTTTATATTTCCCAGTTCTGCTTGGGTTACGTATTTTCATAAACCGACTAGAATGACTTCACTTAACCACACATTAAAATCTACTTAGAAAAAAAGATCCCGGGTGTAACAAAACGAAACTTTACACGACCCCATCATTAGCCATGGTATACGCCATCTAATACCATAGCATTACTCTACTAAAACTCTTACCTATTAAATAATAAACCGAATTTTGAATAATGTACAAATTAGACGTTGTTGTTGCAGCCATCCGCTTATAAATTTATATATCGTATGCATCAAGCGAGCTTAAAACTAATTAAAAATTCTATAATAACTCCCTTAAGTTCGGGATGTTTATACACTAACGTTAAAAAATTTAAAACATAAACCTAGCGGCCATTTAATTAATTCCTGCTTTAATTAATGCTTCAGTGGCTCGAAAGGTAATATGGGAAAAAGTTTTATGAACAATTTGGTTAATGTTTATTGCAGGAAGAAAAAGAATAAGCAGCGATTTTTCGGTTAATTTATGTTAATTGAGTTAAGCTGATGATGGAGAAAGTAATTTTATGCGGCCGATTAAATAATATAAATGGTGTGTTGAATGGGTTTTTCTAACATAAAAATGCAAATCGCGTACGTCTAGTGTTTGACTAGATTTTTAAGTTGTTGGCACCTTTTAAGGTATTTTTCATAAATCTAATTAGCTCTTACTCTAGCTTTTCTAAAGCACTTACTTTTATTAGTTGCAAAATAATTAAGCCTAATGACTTCCTCGTTGCGTTGCCCCAGATAGTTAATTGCAACCTCTATTTTTCCTCAATCTCTCAAGTACCTTAAACACGATGTTTACCTATCATCAATATAATTAAGTGCCCTTTATACACATACCTACATACGTACGAGATCCAATCAAAAATAAATCTCGAACTCTCGAACGGGCCCACGTTTTGACCCGAATACCGTGTTCGTTAGTTCAATTACCAACTAAGTTGCAATTAGAAAAAAAAAACTCGAAAGAGTTCCGTTTTCTGTGTGCGTTACCAGTTTTGGTAGTTTGTTACACTATCTATGCCGAACTTCTTATAAAATCAATTTAACGGTAACGGGAGGGCAAAAAAAAGTTTCGTAGAATCGATTTTGACCGCGTTAAGGCGTAAGAAAAATGAGAAATTTATCGAAAAAGTATATTACGGTTTTATGTAAGTTTAATTTTCTTTCGAAATTGGGCTAGTTATGACTTGACCCTCTATGTAATCGAAATAGAATGGCCCAATAAAACATTTGTAAACTTTTAAAGTCCTATAATAAAACATTAAAAGTTTTGTTCGGAAATGTTATATTGGACAAATGAGTATTGGAAGGATATAAAATTCAGACATCTTGGCTGCTTGAATATGTTATATAAGGAGGCGAGGTTGTAGTCAATATATTTCTTTACAAAACTTTCAAGAAAACAGTCAAGATGAGGAAATTTTTATTGGAACTTTGATGATCTTTTACTCATGCTCATAATGTTGCTTTGGCAATATTGTTTTTCTGTGTTTACCAAAATGGTAGATTCAATACTGTGAATATAAATAATTATTTCCTTGTAACTACAAATTCCTTGGGATCAGAACAAAAATTGAGGGAATAATCAGTTTTTTGTCTTTTCTTTCATCTTTATTTTCTTCGCTTCTTTCTTCAACACCAAATGCAAGTATTGTACAATGGCAGAGCGTTTTTCTCTTTCCATAATCTTGTATTTTCTATACTTTTTTATACTTGTATGGCTTGAAGATTTTATGTTTTTATTTAGAATTTGTTTGAATTCTTGAATTAGCAGAGCCTTACTTCATCTTGGTTCCCAATGGTTCTCTATAAACCTAATTACAAGGGCCAAACCACCTAGGAATTCTTTGCGAAAAATGTGGGAAATTTGGAGGAATTTGTGAGGAATATGAAGGAACTCATCCGAATTTATGAGAATTTGGGGAATTTATAGGGAATTTGGAGGAATTTATGGGGAATTTGGGAAAATTTGTGAGGATTTTATGAGGAATTTAAAGGAAATTGTCAAATTTAAAAAATTCAAAAGAATAATGAATACAGTTTTTGTATAGGCTGATTTCCAAGATTTTTCATGTTGTTATTTTCCATTGAAAAAATTTGGAAAAATGAGCTTCTCACCTTCCTCTTTACATGCAAAAAGTTTCAAAATTTTCCCTTCTCTAGTTTTCCAGGAAAACTTTGAAATGTATAAGACTGTATTTTCAACTTACTCAGTTTTGTAGGTTGATTTCCAAGATTTTTCATGTTGCTGTTTTCTACTGCAAAAATTTGAAATTGTGGAAAAATGAGCTTCTTACCTTCCTCTTTACATGCAAAAAGTTTCAAAATTTCCCCTCCACTATTTTTCCAGGAAATCTTTGAAATGTGTGAGACTGTATTTTCAATTAATTCAGTTATTGTAGGTTGATTTCCAAGATTTTTCATTTTGCTGTTTTCCACTGGAAAAGTTTGAAATTTTGGGAATATGAGCTCTTACCTTCTTCCTTACATGCGAAAAGTTTCAAAATTTTTCCTTTACTAGTTTTCTAGGAAAACTTTGAAATGTGTGAGACTGTATTTTCAACTAATTCAGTTTTTGTAGGTTGATTTCCAAGATTTTTCATGTGTTTTTTCACTGGAAAAATTTGAAACTTTGGGAAAATGAGCTTCTTACCTTCCTCTTTACATGCAAAAAGTTTCAAAATTTCCCCTCCACTATTTTTCCAGGAAATCTTTGAAATGTGTGAGAGTATATTCAGGGCCGGTTCAATAGCTATTATATGCCGAGGCAAAGTTCAATTCTGGCGCCCCTTCTTCTCAAATTGTATTGCCAAAATGATTAAAGATCCATATGATAAACAATGAGTTTTAGGCTATCGTTTAGAGAGTAGGAGAATAAGATAAAAAAAGTAACTTCATTTTTTTAAATAAGAATATCATATATTTATTTATTACATGAGATCTATTCTCACAGGAATCAGAAACCAGTTGGAGTGTTTTTGATTGGTGCAAATCGCCAGAAATCAGTTTTCTGATAGTTTACAATCAATGAAATTCCCTCTGATAGGTACCATCTGTTCGTTGATAGGTTTGTTCTCACAGAAATCACAAACCAGTCAGAGGGAATTAATTTCATTGGTTGAAAATAGTCATAAAACTGGTTGTTGCCTGTTGGAGATTTGCACCAATCAAAAACGCTCTGACTGGTTTGTTATTTCTGTGATAACATACCTAATATACACCATCGAAAATTATAACAATCAAGTGTACTGAATGGTCGAAGGTTATAACATTTTCAATTCTTAGAGCGAAAGTGTTATGTATATGTTACTTATAGTGTAGCCACTGCCTTATTTGTATTTGTCATATGTCATTCATACTTGTCAGGGACAGCTTGTTAAGATCCCGCTCGAATCAACATGTTGTTGCTTTAATAAAAACTAAAAAAACTGAATAAATCTTGTAAATTTATTATCAAAAACAGAAAGTCCATTCAATCAAATCTGTTTTGAGATAAAGAGGATCGAAAGTTCCTTGATGAGCGGTGACAAGTGACAGTGGTGATACATAAATTAACCATTACCGCGGACATTCCGGATAATGTTTTTGGGTCTTTTATCTACCTATTATCCTTATGGGATAAAACATTTTTTTTAATTAACTTGTTCACTTGAAATAAATTTGTTTGCAATTTGGCGCCCCTAATTGTGGCGCCCTAGGCGGTTGCCTCGGTTGCCTGTGCCTAAATCCGGCCCTGAGTATATTTTCATTTAATTCAGTTATTGTAGGTTGATTTCCAAGATTTTTTATTTTGTGTTTTTTCACTGGAAAAATTTGAAATTTTGGGAAAATGAGCTTCTCACCTTCCTCTTTACATGCAAAAAGTTTCTAATTTTCCCTTTCACTTTTTTTCAGGAAAACTTTGAAATAAGTGAGACTGGATTTTCAAATATTTCAGTTATTGTAGGTTGATTTCCAAGATTCCTCATGTTGTAATTTTCTACTTGAAAAATTTGAAATTTTGGGAAAATGAGCTTCTTCCCTTCCTCTTTACATGCAAAAAGTTTCAAAATTTTCCCTTCTCTAGTTTTCCAGGAAATCTTTGAAATGTGTGAGACTGTATTTTCAATTAATTCAGTTATTGTAGGTTGATTTCCAAGATTTTTCATGTTGCTGTTTTCCACTGGAAAAATTTGAAATTTTCGGAAAATGAGCTTCTCAGCTTCCTCTTTACATGCAAAAAGTTTCTAATTTTCCCTTTCACTTTTTTTCAGGAAAACTTTGAAATAAGTGAGACTGGATTTTCAAATATTTCAGTTATTGTAGGTTGATTTCCAAGATTCCTCATGTTGTAATTTTCTACTTGAAAAATTTGAAATTTTGGGAAAATGAGCTTCTTACCTTCCTCTTTACATGCAAAAAGTTTCAAAATTTTCCCTTCTCTAGTTTTCCAGGAAATCTTTGAAATGTGTGAGACTGTATTTTCAATTAATTCAGTTATTGTAGGTTGATTTCCAAGATTTTTCATGTTGCTGTTTTCCACTGGAAAAATTTGAAATTTTGGGAAAATGAGCTTCTCACCTGCAAGCATGCAAAAAGTTTCAAAATTTTCCCTTCACTAGTTTTCCAGGAAATCTTTGAAATGTGTGAGACTGTATTTTCAATTAATTCAGTTATTGTAGGTTGATTTCCAAGATTTTTCATGTTGCTGTTTTCCACTGGAAAAATTTGAAATTTTCGGAAAATAAGCTTCTCAGCTTCCTCTTTACATGCAAAAAGTTTCTAATTTTCCCTTTCACTTTTTTTCAGGAAAACTTTGAAATAAGTGAGACTGGATTTTCAAATATTTCAGTTATTGTAGGTTGATTTCCAAGATTCCTCATGTTGTAATTTTCTACTTGAAAAATTTGAAATTTTGGGAAAATGAGCTTCTTACCTTCCTCTTTACATGCAAAAAGTTTCAAAATTTTCCCTTCTCTAGTTTTCCAGGAAATCTTTGAAATGTGTGAGACTGTATTTTCAATTAATTCAGTTATTGTAGGTTGATTTCCAAGATTTTTCATGTTGCTGTTTTCCACTGGAAAAATTTGAAATTTTGGGAAAATGAGCTTCTCACCTGCAAGCATGCAAAAAGTTTCAAAATTTTCCCTTTACTAGTTTTTCAGGAAAACTTTGAAATGTGTGAGACTGTATTTTCAACTAATTCAGTTTTTGTAGGTTGATTTCAAAGATTTTTCATGTTGCTGTTTTCCAATGGAAAAATTTGAAATTCTGGGAAAATGAGCTTCTCACCTTCCTCTTTATATGCAAAAAGTTTCAAAATTTTCTCTTCTCTAGTTTTCCAGGAAAACTTTGAAATGTGTGAGACTGTATTTTCAACTAATTCAGTGTTTGTAGGTTGATTTCCAAGATTTTTCATGTTGCTGTTTTCCAATGGAAAAATTTGAAATTTTGGGAAAATGAGCTTCTCAGCTTCCTCTTCACATGCAAAAAGTTTTAAATTTTCCCTTTCACTTTTTTCAGGAAAACTTTGAAATAAGTGAGACTGTTTCTACTTGAAAAATTTGAAATTTTGCGAAAATGAGCTTCTCAGCTTCCTCTATACATACAAAAAGTTTCAAAATTTTCCCTTTTTTTAGAGGAATTTGTGGGGTATTTGGAGAAGTTCGTGGTGTGGTATTTGGAGGAATTTGTAATGGGATATCTGGAGGAATTTGTAGGAATTTTGAGGAATTAAGTATGCGTAAAAAGTTCCCCTTTGAGGAATTGTTTGCACCAATTCTGGGATGGTGGTTTACCCCTTGCCTAACTACTTCTTCCTCAGTTATCTTGTTATTTTCCACTGAAAAAATTTGAAATGTTGGGCAAATGAGCTTCTCACCTTTCTCTCTACATGCAAAAAGTTTCTAATTTTCCCTTTCACTTTTTTTCAGGAAAACTTTGAAATAAGTGAGACTGGGTTTTCAAATATTTCAGTTATTGTAGGTTGATTTCCAAGATTCCTCATGTTGTAATTTTCTACTTGAAAAATTTGAAATTTTGGGAAAATGAGCTTCTAACCTTCCTCTTTACATGCAAAAAGTTTCAAAATTTTCCAATTCTGGGATGGTGGTTTACCCCTTGCCTAACTACTTCTTCCTCAGTTATTATTCGCTTTCGGCTATTTTTTTCATTTCCTCATCCATTTTTACCTTGAAAGTTGGAATTTGTTCCATCCAAAAATATTTTTTTAATTCAAATATGAAATGGTCAAAGGCCCAAATCGAATATTTTCTATTTCAATTCATCAAATCGCAAAAAAATAGGCCAAATATTTATTTTGAACCAATCAATAAAACGTAACCCGATTCCGCTGCCGCTCTGGTAATTGAATTAATTGAAAACCAGGGCAGAGAAAAAAAAATATATTTAAAATGTCCCAGCAAAATAATATCCTTGATCGCTGGGTAAGTTAGCATTTACACAGTAAACATTACAGGCAATATTTGGTTTGGAAACCCCAAAACTCTTTTGTTTAATACAAAATGGACGTCCAAATATTGGAATTTTTAAATATTTATTTTCTGTCGTGTAAATTGCAACGCATTTTCAAAGTGCAAAACGTTGTTTTTGTCATCAGAATGTTTGCTTTCGGTTTTATTATTTAAACATCCCATGTTAAAATACAAACTAATTTGTGCTTTCACCATTTATTTCAGATCTCTGAGACGCTTATACCAGCTTGCTTTTGCTATCCGAACAAAATGTAAGTATCCATTTTACAAATATACAATATGTATTCTTGCCAAAAACAATGCATAAATGCAAACAGATGTAATAATAAACCGTGTCACTGGCCAAAAATAATTATTGCAAAAGATTTCTCATTAAAAACAACAATAAATTGTTCTCCGGAAACTATTACACAAGAGGCTTTTCAAATATTTGTTGGAAAGTAATTTTCTCAATCGGTCCGACCCAAATCTAAACAACTACGAAAACTATTTATTGAAAACATTTTTAGTTTTGTCTTTTCTATGTTATTATTTCGCTTGCAACGTTCAAAGTTATTTTTATTGTGTTTACGTAGTTTCAAGGCAGGGTGGTCTTTATTGGGGGCAATTTTCTAAACTTTTAAGTGAAACTTTGAGGAACTGGCCAATAAAGGGGACCCAAAACATATTTGGGGGCTTGTTTCCATGTGTTTTGTTCACTTGACAAAGAATTAGGGGTGAAACTATGAAAAGCTTAGTTATGGTCATTTTATTATTGTGTTAATTAACCCATTGGCGCAGGTGAAAGATTTTAACAATTATAATCTGCTTGTAGTCTTATCAATGTTTCGTTCATTCCCACTTGGAGACCGGAACAACATCTTTCCAACTCCGGTTATCTGGAGTCATTTATACACAACCCACTTTTCAATTCGTATTTTTGGTGAAACTTAACACGCCCTTTTCTATAATTTTCATCAATGTCAAAATTAGGAGTTTGATAAATGGAGCCTCTCTTTCCAAATCTAAAAGGAAGAATCTGCCCTTTTCATTTGAGACCTTATGCTGTGAGGTCCGGTCTTGGCTCTAATTATTTTTGGGCAGGACTTTTTGAAATTTTGTGCCAGGGAAACTCAAGTTAGACTAATTTCTTGTTGATCATTGTCTAGAGTTGTCCCTTGGTAATTTTGGATTTTGTTTCGGTAAGTTTTGAGATTTTGGACTTCATTGGGAAAATGATTGGAAAAATCTAAATAGACATGAGTGGCGTGAGCCATAATAGACCAATGAGTCGAAGTGGAGGGTCCCACTCATTTTTTGACTCAATCTAACCCTGGGATTAGTAGACAGATTATAATGTGAAAAACATGATTTAAGCCTTTTTTCGGTATGAATTCAATATTGAATATTATAAGGTTAGATCATTGATTACATGGGATTATTATTTGTTAGAATTAAATCAGGATTGGAAACAGTAAAACCTAAAGGGCATATTGAAAATGAGCAATAAGTAAATATTTTTTCACACGTTATTATAACCAAATAAATTTGCTCTACTTTCAGATAAGGTCGAGAATCTGGTCGGAGTCATCATTATTACTATTATTATTGACCCGCATCGACCTCCAACGGCAATTCGAATAAATAACCGCGCCGGTAAAGTAGGCAACCATCAAAAGATAGAAAGAAAGACAAAAGTAAATACATTCCGTATAGCTTTAATATAATAAAATCACGTAGGCAACGGGCTCGAAAAAGTGCACATGCGATAAAAATAAAACTGGCGGAATACCTGCTGCTCATAAAAATGAACCTACAAAAAAAAAAACTGGTAACCATTAAAAAGTATGCAAGAGATGGTCCCGAAACGACTTGGGAAGATGTTATCTGGTCTTATAAACGAGACATACCGTCCTCTTGCCATCCGCAGTTTAAGCATCCGATACGATATTTTTTGTATTATCTTACGTTATTTTTGTTTCAACAGTATTATAGGTGAAACTTTTGTAATTTTTATAATCCTGTTTGTTGAACTAAATAATTTGAAACTTGATCGCTTTGGATGTTTTCCCATTATTTTTAATGATGGGTTAAAACTTTTTACACTCATTATACATTGTAGGAGCACGAAAAACTTTTCACCCAGGTTCTCTGAGGTGTTAGGTTATACCATTGAGGAAGGGGTTATACATAATAATTATTATTTATTATTATTATTATTTTACAATAGAAGGCGGCAAAGCCGATGAGTCTATTAATTGGTGTTTATATCAATTCACAATTTTAAGTCCATAATTAATTGTCACATCCATTGTATCTCAGATATGGTATTATTTTGTCACTAGTTTACTGGGGATAGTGGAGAAACTGGTTATTGTTTTCACTTATATCTCTGTCTACACGATTTTTGAAGGAGTTAACACTAGTGGCATTTACTGTGTCTTGACTTAAATTATTCCATGAATACACAACCCTGTTTGTTAAGAAATTGCGTCTTAACAATTTGGAACGTTTTTCCTTGTTTAATTTCTTGTTATGCCCTCTCAGGTGCGTATTATCGGCAGGAATAAAGATGTTAATGATATTGCACATTATTTCATAAGTCTCAATCAAATCTCCACGCTGTCTTCTTTGGTAGAGGGTTGTAAGATTAAGGCGCTGTGAACGTTCTTGATATGAGAGATCGTTGAGCTCTGAAAAGATTTGAGTTACCATTCGCTGAACTTTCTCTAGAAGATCTATATCTTTTGACATAATAAGGACTCCATATGCTTTTGCATATATTCTAGTTTTGGTCTTATATATGTCTTGTAAAGCTTAAGTATCATATCATTATATAGGTTTTTAAACGACTTTCTTATAAGGTAAATCAAGGTGCTCACTTTTTTGACAGTTGTTGAGATGCGACACTACCATTTGAGGTCTTTTGTGACTATTAAGCCTAGATTTTTCTGTTTTCGACTGGAGTCACCTCAGTGTTTCCTATAGTGTACCTATAATTGGGATTAGTTCTTCCTAAGTGAAGAACAGTGCACTTAGATTCGTTTAATGGCATCTGCCATGTTTAATTTTATCAAGATCGCTCTGCATTTGTAGGTATTGGTCACTTGCTCTGCATGTAGAATTTGTGTCATCTGCAAAGGATGAGGTGTCTGACGCGAGATCTGCAGGAAGGTCGCTTATGTATAATATAAACAGCAAAGTTGCAATTACCGAACCCTGTGGTACTCCGCTATGCTATGAACCTCGTGACTACTGGAAAAAAAAATTCGCTGATAACTCTATGCACATCATTGTCCCGTTTTCCATTATGCTTCGATTTTAGCAGGAGTCTCCTGAAAGGTACCTTATCAAAAGCTTCTTCAAAATCTATGTAGACAATATCAAATGGTGTATTACTGTCATTCATTTGAGTCCATTTGTTGAATCTTTCCAGCAGGTTGGTGAATGTTGATCTTCCTGGTAAGAACCCATGCTGAGAATCAGGTATTACTTGCTGTTCTAATAAAAAAAATGTTAACTCATTCACTTTTTCTCCATGCATTTGCAGAGTACGCTGGTGAGACTTATTGGTCAGTAATTTGATGGTTCCAGTTTGTCTCCCTTTTTAAAGATTGGTACAACTATTGAAGATTTCCATATTTCTGAAATAGGAGCTCCTTTCATTATACAGTTGAGAATAGTGGCTAGGACTGGAGCAGTTTTTCAGAAAGAGGGATGGAATTTCATCAGGACCAGGACTAGACTCCGTCTTTAGAGAAGAAATGGCCATTTGTACTTTTTCTGTGGTGAATTCTATGTAACTTATCTCTGCAGTGATGCGTAGTTCAGGTGAAAGAGTTGGTAGGTTGTTATCTTCTTGAGTGAAAACTCTCTGGAACTGGTCTGCAAAGCAATTGGCAATTTCAGTATCATCGTAAGTAGTCTGATTTGGGTTTGCGTTTCTGAGCGCAAAATTTTGGAGATGGGAGTTTAGGGAATGTTTTATATAGGAGTAAAATTTATTACAGGAGCTTGCAATAAGTTCTGTTCATATTCTTGCGTAGCCTGGTTTAAGATCTGCTTCGTTATATTTTTTTGTTGTTTGTAATGATCATAATCTGTGTTTGTTTTTGTCCTTTTATACTTATCCCAAAGTTTTCGTTTGATGTGGATTTGCTTAAAAACTTCCCAGATAAGCCAAGGTTTCTTTGAATTGACATGCTTAGGTAGCTCAATAGTTTTTGTCACTAAACTTATTAGCTGTGTTGCATCAATTTGACATTTGCAGGCATCTAACTATTCAGTTATGATGTACTTGTTAATTTCATCATAATTTGCTTTCTAGAAATTTATTTTATAGATCTTTTTAGTTGAATCTGTGTTTTAGCTGTTATTACTACATGGTCACTACGCCCTATTGGTGGGTGTTGCTCTATACTGAAGATTGAGCTTTTGTCATCAACCAGCAATAGATCTAGTAATGAAATTTCATTATTTCTGTATCTTGTACGAAACGTTATTACCTGATGCGCGTTAGTGATTTGATAGCTGTTAAAGAAATCTTCTGAGCATTGATTATGAGGGTAGACTGTGAGTTTATCCCAATTGATCTTTGTGTAATTGAATAATATATACAGTGTCATTACTTAAGTGTGCAACATATGGGATTTTTTTTTTTTAGTAATAGCACAATCAAAATACAAACAAGGCCAAAAGTTGGTGCATGTCTGATAATCATATTAGGTGCACTTAGTCATACAGCATACAGGGTGGCTCAAAAAATATCCATCCAAAATATATATGCTTGAATTTGAACAAAGTTATGTAAAATTGATTTGATTTCAATTGATTTTTGAGAGTATTAAGGGCGGAAATAAAAAATAAAAAAAATATAGAAATTATAGATTTTTTTCGAAAGAAAATAAAAAAAATCTTAGGTTATGTTTTGGTATTTAGGCATAACTTTTAATTCCAAACAACTTTTCTCTATAACATTTTGCTGAATTTTCTAAAATAAGGGTACTTTACAGTACAGCTTTGATATAGTTTGAGCTACCCTGTATACTGTTTGACTTGCAACCATTCTAAGTACACCGAATATTATTATCAGACATGCACCAACTTTTGGCCTTGTTTGTATTTGGGTTGTGCTGTTACTAAAAAAAATCTCCATATGTTGCACACTTAAAAAAACACACTGTATATACTAGCTAAACCGGCGAACTTCGTACCGCCTATGAATTATTAAATACCTATTAAATGTTGTGTTAGGCCAGAGTTACCCAACTCC